AAAAAAAATGATAATGTTTTACTCATATGGACAAAAATGTCCATGCATGGTACTCCAAGGGTTAAGATCACATATTTATAGCCCATCTTGAACACTGATATATAAATTCGGCGATTTTCGGAAAAAATCGATTTCTCGTGCTTATTTTTCGTCTTTCTCAAAATCAATTTTTTCAAGTATACCGTTTGCGTGTTCAAGGATTTTTTAACAACGGCTAAATAGATTTGGTTGTTGGTTGGGTATGGATGTGAGTATGAATGATCACTAAACTATACTAGCATCCACACCCACACCCTCGTATCCGTGTTGCGAAATCCTTGAACGCATCAAGGGTAATGAATTGACTAGAACTTGTGCATTTCTTTGAGATTTGGGGAAAACATTTTAACCATAGACTATTCTAGTCAAGACTAACATTCTCTGAAATTTTGGTTGAAATCGGATGAAAAATAATAAAGTTCGTTTCCAAGGAGGGTCCTTAAATAAAGATTTTGTTGTTTTTAAATATTAGAACAGAATAAAATACTCGCAAGAAAAATAGAGAAACAAGAAGTAGTGCTCTTTATTCGGCTAATACATAGGTTGGTTTTATTTAACATAGAGAAGTTTATAGCAGAGACGTCTACAGCATACTCTTTTTTGCATGCTGTCCCGCTCTGCCGTGATGACAAAAATAATGCTGAAACTCGAGAGTGATATAAAAGACATTGAAAAGTATATGACTTGATGCAGAGAAATAAAAATGTCTGAAACACGAAACCTATAAAAAACTAAACATTATTATCCTAAGAAAGAATCGATGGCTTGAACAAGATCAGTTCGAGAGACGTTTGGTGATTTGTTGAAAGAAAAATGTAGACCGCAAGTCATCGGAATTTCAGGCCACTTCTGTGTCATATCTAGTCAAGAACGACAAGATATGAAAGTTTCGAGAAACCATGGTAGCCGTTTCTAATCAGAAATAGTGAGAAAAAAAATATATTATCAGGTAAATCATCACAGGTAGAGTATCCGATTCCATTTAACTTACTTTCCGATCTATTCAAGAATATAATAAACAAGTTTAAGTATTTTCTAACTCATGTTTCATGTATTTTCTTTTCTCTCACCTTTATGTTCACGAGCGTACATGTGCCAGGTAAAATTGAGACTTAGACAATGAAACATAGCTTTAAAATATTTTAATCTATGTGGATGTATGTGTGTGTCTTAAAGATGTAGGAGAATAAAAGAAGAAGATATAAGAAGATATAAAATAGGAGATCAATAGAATAAATGATATAGATAAGTGAATAAGACTACAAAAGTAATAGGGATACGGAGATTAGAGAGGAAGAGTAAAAGTATATTAGGAGTACAACTTCAAGAGTACAAGGGTACAGAGGTATAAATGAATAAAGAAATAACTCTATAAACGAATAATACAAGAAGAGCATAAGGTGACAAGGATAAGACTATAAATATATAAGATCATATAGTATATCTGTATGTATATAATGCAAAATGTCTGATTGTGTGTTACTGGGTGAAGGCTAAAACAAAGATGTGAAACTTTAAAGGAAAAGAGCAGTTGTACAGTATTCATAGGACCTCGCTATTTAAAAATAAAATTTATAAATATGGAATTAAATAAATATTTTAAATCTTCTATTTAGATTATTATTTGGTTAGCGATTTATGTTAAATTTTTAGTTGATCAGAGGATAACTGTTTTACTTACCCTGACCGAAAATACTCATCCAACCAACAATTAAAAAAGCCAGGAGAAAGATAGTATTTTGAAGGAGTAAATTTATATTTTTTCTATTCATTTTGAATTTAAATTAATAAGTTTGCCAGATGTAATAGCATGATAGTCAATTTTTGTCGTCATCTAATAGAACAGATAATGATCAATGATCAAAACATAACTGTTTTATTAGTATATTTGTGTTTCTTTAAAAAAATAGCAACGAGCACTAGCACAAGTACTAGTACCTCGTCCACTAGTACATCAACCTCTACAAGTACTTCTACAACAAGCAGTACTTCAAGCACAAGTAGCACAACATCGACCGTATCAACAACAAGTACATCAACTTCGACTACATCAAGCAAAATTACCTCAACATCAACTACAACAACTACCACCTCAACAATAAGTACTTCAACAACTACCACCTCA